GTCCCAGTGGGAGGCCTCCATCCATCTCGTTTGTTTAGCCAGCTTAAGAGAAAAGGTGAAAAAAATAAGAAAGCTATAGAAACAATATTTATTGAGAAAGAGAATGATATAGGAAGGAGAGTTGGTGGTAAAGGGTGGGAATGGTGACGCCAATTGAGAACATTGGAGAAAACTCCTTGCCTGAGATCAAAGCCCCACCCCTGTAAGTAATAAAGCCAAGGTGACCCGATTTTTCAGAATCGTGTAAAAATGTCCTTTAGGAAGGTCATGAGTCATTAATGAAAGCACCAGTAAGTCTATATTTAAAGTGATTGCAAACCTCTGACATGAAAAATGAACACAGTATATCCCTCTATAGTGTGTACTTGCCTCTATCCAAAGCACCAAGTGTTTCTGTCTGCTGTCTCTTCCCGCTACTATCTGCATGAGTCGCTCCTTAAAGATTAAACTGACACAACAGAATCTCAGGTGCCAGCCTTCTCTCCCCCCCCCCCCTTAAGCACACAGCAGGAGGCTGACAGCCTCAGCTGTGTATGTGTCTCTGTTAACCTATGTACAGGGGTGTGTGTCCATTCCCTCCACTCTCAGATTATACGTGTAGCTCGCTGTTCTAGATTTTCAGCGTGTGATGTTAGATCCCCAATCCCTGCCTTCTGCTGTTGAGAAATAGCCTTTGATCTTGCTCTGTGTACTTTGAATGGATCTGGAGCAGAAAGGACTGCAGATAAACAGATACAACTTACATAGGAAGATTTATTTAATCTCTGTCTATCACCTGAGGATAGTCACTTCACTAGGTACATGCAAGGGTTTTACAACCACTTTAACCACCTGAAGGTTGAGGAAAGGCTATCTCCATGATCAAACTATTGTTCAAGAGGCAGCTAGAAAAATGACAATAGCAAGTTTGGCTTCAGTTTTAATTTGGAAAAGGGCTTGTTTGTTCAGCAGTTTTTCCTTTGTTTTGTTTAATAGTACAACGTAAAAAAGACCTGAGAAGATTATAAACTCAAACCCACTTTTTGGGGGCCTGCATTTCCACTAGACATGCAACACTGTACCCTGAGAGGTACAGCCCTTGAAGCACAGGGGAGAGGTGGTAAGAGTATACTTTGCAATTCTATCTGTGGTTAAGTACCAACACATAAGGACTTTATGATGCTATTGTAAGGTAATCCTAAGAAAGCATTTCACAGGTTTTCCTCACATCGAGTGAAAGTTGCATTGTATTGAATGAACATTTATGGGAAAGACTGATCAATTGGATGACATTACGTATATACTGTCTCCTGGGCACAAACCCAATCTGGTCCCCACGCACAATCTGTTCGAAAGAGACGTTCTATCTCAATGCAAATATCTTGTCTAATGTTTTAACACTAGGTAGCTATACCAGCAGTTAGGTAGCAATTTTGTTATGCTGTAGGATATTTGTGCAGCCATTTTTAAAACACATTTTTAAGAACATATGCATTTAACAAATTTTAGTGCACACAGAGTGTAATGCCCACATTTTTGCCAATATATAAAAGATGCTGTTATGCCAAGTAGATACCTAAAATGTCATGCTTTAAAACTGCATATGCCCCTGGAATAGTGAAAAACTATGGTACCTAAAAATCTCCATAGGCAACTCTTTAAAAAGTAGTAGGTAAAGGGTATCTTGCCTGTGGTGATTTGTAAAGCATTTATGCTGCTTTACATTGTGCAACCATACTCTCTGGTGAGTGCGGAGTATTGGTGAAGATTCGTGGCTGTTCACAATCTGAAAGTTATTGACTTACTTGGAAGTTCACGGATGAATTGGTGCAAGTTGAAGCTCTTTGTTCATACACATTAACACATAACTGGATGGATTGCTGGACTTTTTATTAATTCATGATCTTGATCACAATTTTATTTATTTATTCACTTGTTATTAATAGACTTGATATTACATAATCATTGATGTTTACATTCATACATTTAAGTGTAAACATCAAAAAATATTTATGTGCACAGTTTGTGAATGAATAATTGAATTTTAGATATATTTAATATATAAAATATATGTAATATTTAAATATCCTACATCTTACATAGACTTATCATAGAGGGTTTTAGATATTGACCTTTTTTGCAAGCTGCCATTTGTCCTGATTTTTTCGGAGGGACTGGATTTTGTGCACACCTACTAATGGAGATCATGGGTGCAATTTGACTCTCTTGTTAACACAAGGTATCAATTTTCTCTGGTGAGTGTGGTGTGAGAAGTGGGAAATCACTTACCTGAAGGGTGTGGAAGCATCAAAGTGAATGATATTACACTGAAGAATCACCTATGCTGCACCATCGTTCTTGTATATGAGTATCAGAGCACAGTCAGGCTTGTATTCATAATCACAATTTATGTTGATAGGATTGGACTTGCATGTTGTGCTTTTTGGACTTTATATTCATTTTACAATGTTATACACAGTTAATATTTAATTTGATTGGTTTTGGTCTATAGTGTTTTGCCCTGTTTGGGGCTTTATGATATGTAAGTTCAGGTCACCCTAGTCGTGTCTTATTGGCAGCAGCTAACACAAGTTATACACCCATTTCTTTTAGTGTGGGTTTAGCATTTCAGAATGTGGTCAACAATGGCAGATCCCCCATTGTTCGCAGTACAGATTTAAGATTACTCTTAAGACTTAACTTAAAGGAGAAATTATAAAGAAGTAGTATAGCAGGTATTTTGTGAATTATCCATGTGTCTAACGCTAACAAAATTCTTGCTGACTACACCAACCAGTCAGTCTCTCTCTTTCATCATCAAATTAATTAAAATAAAATGCAAGACCGAATGAGAAAATCTGAAACCATGAGTAGGGCCTTGTTCACATGGAGTGTATCAATGTGTGTCCCATGTGAGGGCCCTGTTTATCTGCACTGGGACGAATAGGTTTTTTGTACTTTCCTCTGCAGGCAGTCCTATTGCTGTCAATTGGGATGAAGCCACGGCCACCAATGTGACATCCATGCGGGTGCAAAGCACCACATGCATCTAGGATGCACAGATGTCACTTTGGGAGCAGCACTTGTGTCCCAATTGACATCAATAGGACTGCCTGCACAAGGATACATGGAACATGTTTTCCTTACCTTGTAAGGATGAGCTCACAAGTTTCGGCTGCAGTTTGTAGTGTCATGGCTGATCTCTTCCCCTAAGCCCATGTAATTCTTCAGCTAGCCTGTCCCTATGCGCCAAGGGGACAAGATAACCTTCCTGTTCCAGATCACACAGTGTCCAATGCATGCCTTACCATTCCTTCTGTGTTGCATCACAAATATTGGAATGCTAATCTGTTCAAACACAATAACTCCCAGCTTTATGTATGAGCTCTCTGCATGTCTGTGAATGTTCTGCCTGCTTGTGACTGCATCAGATCTAATTACTGTGTAGCTCTCACCTGCACCAGCACTAGCCTGAGAGACCCAGGATTATGGAATATGATGTTTCTACATAGGAGGTGTCAGGTCTAACACTACTAACAAAAATCATGCATTAACCTGTGCTAAGCCATGATGCATGCCTCATGTTTCAACACAAACTGAAACCACTGACATAGAAATGTGAAGATTTACTCTGCTGTAGGCTATGCATACAGAGCTACAAATGACACCATGAAACGACATCATCAATGCGCATCTTATACAGATAATAAACACAAGGACAGGAAGGAAGTTTTATCAGGACTTTAAATATGATGCCCATTGTATCAACTGGCTTTATGGCCAGCTTCCCAGATGAGGCTTTTCATTATTAATAATTATGTATCATAATTATGTATCAACAAAATTTTATTTGCATAATTATAACATGTATAGTTTTAAAAAGCAGATGGGACACTGCAAGAAACCCCCCCCCCAGTGCAACTTCAGTGCACCTGGACAGATTATTCAAAAGTCAGATTAGATTGGGGTATGCAGGTTTAACCCCTTTCCGCCGACAGTACACATATATGTGGCCTCACTGGACTGGGTTTTTTCTCTGTGGGGCTGAATATATGCTTGTCTGTCTTTGTACTCAGAGCATGCCGCACTGCGCTCCCCCAACACAGAGACTGGGGTCTCACCGGGAGCCCCAGGTCCCGTACTAATGATCGGGACCTGGAACTCCTGATTTCAGGTCACCTGATCGCTGTGATAGCCTCTGATTGGCTATCACAGAGATCGGTCACTTTGAAGCCCGCCCCTGTGTTTTCTCTCTCTCTGAATGGAGGAGAGAGATACATTGTATCTCTCCCTTCTTGAAGAGAGTAAAATAAACATAATTGTGTGTAAAAAAAAATAATTTTTATTAAAAAAAAAAATACTTAGATCAAGGTTTGATCTAGGTCAGTGACAGAGTTAGTGTATGGGTCAAGTAAGGGTCAAAGGTCAGGGTCAGTATATTTGGGCAGGATTCTTTTTTTTTTTTTAAGTATTTTTTAAATTAGTATTGTTGTCAGTTAGTGTCAGGATGTTTTAGCTAGGATAAAAAAAGCAAAATGCACACTATTGTTTCTGGGCTGTACTACAGGCACATACAACAACTAACATACAAATATATGTGGTATCGCTGCGATCGTTGGGAGCAGAAGAATTTATTTTGGGTTGTTCTTTGGTGCTAGGTTATGGTATACAGCTACATTTGTTTTACTAATTTGGGCCTGTTTTCCTCTAATTAAGAAAAAAAAAATCAGGGAGGTTTCCATTGCTATTTACCACCATATGAAAGCCCAATTTGTCCTGAAAAAAAAAAACAAGGTATAGGTATAACCCACCTGGATGCACAAAGTAGTTGTGATGATATGAGCCATTTTACTAACACATGTCAAAGTTGCAAAATTGTGCTTAGGCATTAACATTTGTTTTACCTTTTGTTTTACCTACTGAATTATTTGCTTAAAGTGTATATGTACAATGAATCTCTGTTTTACATCAGCTAATTGTCAGTTTGTTGGAACATTGTCCTAGAGCAGTTCATCTCTCACCTGGCTTTCATCCTTTATTGCTGATAAGCTGCCTGCATTTGTGTCGTTCTCACAAGGATGGTCCACCTTCATTCTCTTGTATTTCCTCATTATTAAACTGTCAACCACCCAAAACATAATGGCCTAAAAGCAATTAAGTACAGAATTAGTGTTTTCTTACATAAAATGAAATAAAACAAAAATGATTTTGACAAAAGCATTTCTACTGGCTACTTTACCATAAAGGATGGGGTTTTGTTCCTTTTACTAATTTTAATTTTGTAAACACAACAAACATCTGAATGAATACCAGACATTGCAAGGGAAAATGGAGGGTAAAGGGTAAAGATTTTGCACCATCTAAAAACTGTAAAAAGCATATTACTGTGTTTTAGTGTCAAGATGCTTTTATAAATTTGACTTTATGTTCACGTTGTTTAGTAAACTGCAAATCCACATAGAGTTTTCAGTAGGTCAGGAATAATAAGAAGGTGGGCGGAAGGTTCAGCAGCTGATAGCAATGATTTGAAAGCAGAGGGGAGCTTAATGCAAAGTGCTCTATCTAGGCTCCAATGAAAGTGGTTGTGGTTTCCTTTCTGAAAGAGAAAACAAGACTAAGGGATTCATGAAGCGTGTCTATGACAGTGTCAGTGTGGGTGACAGATTCATGTACCTCTCAGAAATGAATTTGGGGCAAGCACGAAGTTTGGGTGCTTGCACAGTAAGGCCAAGGTATCCATACAGACACTCCATCCACAGTTCAGCTGAGCTCCTCTCTCCACATAGACAGTGCATGGGGATTCAGAGGCACTAGATTACCAACAGGTACGCTCTTCTTGTGACTGACAGCAATCACAAGAAGAGTGTACCTTTTTTTTACATTCATGCAGCCATAGGGGCATTAGGGCACTATTAAGAACTACCTGAAAATGTCACACGTGTTGAAAAAAATACTGACACTAGTAGCAGAGATTTCTGGATCTTGTGCATTTTAAAGTCTTTAAGTGTTTTATTGAATTCCCAACAGTGTTGCTAGAACGTCAAATTACTAGCAACCATAGTATTATTTGCCCATGCGGTAGTCGTTTGTGATGGTGCCAGAAGAACTGACATGATAAGTGGGTGAACTGTGTGTGCTGTACAACTTATATTGAACTTATCAGCTACATCAATATGCTAAACTAACAAAACTGCAACACTATAGGCACATTGTGTTTCCTAAAGGTCTTACTATACTACTCTACTTAGGTTCTGTGTTTCTGTGATACCAAGAGTTTAAAATTCTGCCAGACTGAAATGTAAACCCCACGTCCTTCAGTTAAACCCTACTCTGCTTTTTATACCTCCATCAGAAGATTCACCAACTACTGGAGGGGTTGGCATTAGCTCTAAATCCAGCAGAAGTCTCTTGTAGAGCAGAAAAAGGCTTCCAGAGAGGTGCATAACAGCCCACTTGAAGTGTAAAAACTTTATACTTAAGCAGTTTTGTTGATTTGAGCATATTGATGTTCCTGACAGGTTTAATTTTGGATTTTGTTATAAATGCTCCTGAACAAATGCCAGCATTTACTTCTTGCACCTCAAAGGAACCAATACATATTTTGAAATGAATGACTGGAACCACCTAGGGCTCTAGGAGACCGGATGTAATACTGTTGTTTAGACTTACTTCTTCACAAAGTACTGCTGCTTTGTGCTCAGTGAGCTGCATAATTGAGGCTTCTTGCCTTATAGAATAACCTACAGAAATTGGTGAATCTACACAAGTTTTATTCACCAAGAGTTTTGTTCAAAATTCAGTGCACCTGAACTTGAAGGCTAATCTCCTTGCAGTGAATAGGTGTAGGTGTGTGTGTGTGTGTGTGTGTGTGTGTGTGTGTGTGTAGGGGGGGGGGTACTCTTGTTAAATTCTGACTATTTTCAGGATAATATGTAAACTACTATCAGGAAAAAAGCATGGGAAACTGGGCACTGCCAATGAGGACATGCAAACACCCCCCCCCCCAACAAAAAAAAAATACGTATATTGGGGAGAGGTTTTCATGCAACTTTGAGGGCAACATTAAAAATACCCAAATCCTTTCATTAACATACTTGAGGTGCTTTAAATCTGTACAAGGTAATACAGAACAATACATTTTTCACAGACAGTCTCATCAACAGAATATCTTGGCAGTACATGTCTGACTTTGGAATCTCATACGTTTACAATCATACAAAGCAGTATAAAACTGGCCAGCCAGTAGGACAATTTTAAATAGCAAGGTTAGGACTAAATTTACTAGAGACAAAGCAGAGGATAGGGATTTAGTACACTACTGCAGAGGCCAGTGTAGTGTAAAACTGTCCAGTAGCAAGGTGGTTTTAATCAGGGAAAGTATGCCTAACTGGAGTATGCCTTTTATTTTATCCACATGGATAGGAGGTGAACGTGAGGGATATAATTTGAGTTGATTTATGTGCACACTGTTCTTGCCTTTGAACAAAAAGCAGCAGAAGAGCAGATGGTCATTAATAAGTGAATGCTCTGCTTTGAGTACCACAGACTAACTTAAAAAGGGCCTATCTACATCAACTAAAAAAGAAAATCCAATAAAAAAAAAAAAAAAATAGTGAAAACCCCAAAATGCCACCTCTAAAACAAAAGGAAAGTCTTGCAGAAATTTTTTTTTTAAATAAAACAAGTTTCCCAACTGACCTCAATCTCTACCTATGAAGTTTGTCAGTTTTCCCTACCACTGATTCCAATGTACTGACACTATGTCTGCTCTACGCCGTCCTTTTATATAGTGAGGTAGCTGGCTTAACCAAAAGCCTCCTTATTAGCCCTTCCAATCCTGCTCTTTATATTTCATGCCATGCAGTGCATTGTGGGGTAAAATAATTCTCCCTGGCAAATCTGCACTTAAATCCACCAGGACCATGAAACTTGAATCTCCAGGATTTGCTTTGAACCCAAGGCAGTTGTTTTTTTTTTTTTTTTTTTTTGGCTCTGGGCAAAGCGATTTACCCTTACGTTGCTTTCTATTTCCGCTTGCGAGCATGAATGACTGTGAGTAAAAGCACTACATTTGACACACATATGTTAGATTAGCACATTTAACACTTTGATCACCCCTATTAAACCTTTGGTCACCCGACCAGTGCCATTAGTAAAGTGTCAGCATATAGAATTTTTTCAATAATCACTGTGTTACTGCCACTAGCGACATCAGATATCGTCAGGGTCAGTTAGCAACCCTCCCAGCCAGGGTCAGTTAGGGTTAGATTGCCAACAAACTATTGCACTCACACTATAGGTTGCTGATCACCCCCATTACTATTATATTGTTTGTACGGATCAGTATATTGATCACAAAAAGAACTATCCTATAGTGTCCCCAAAAAAGCAGTGTTATCAGGATCAGCCCTGTTTTCTGCCAGCACTAGTGCTTAGCCCCTCTGCTTCTTTTCACGGAAGATTTTTATCAATTGATTGTGGGCCAAAGCAATTTATACGCACAACAATACATAGCCGGCCACCCAAATTCAGTTCTTGCCAGATAATTTGTATGGAAACCAATCACAGTTTCTAAATGTAAAACTTTTTTGGGCCTAACCCTCGATATGGGCATTACAAAAAGAATTAATTGCAGTCATATAGGTCCACGGAAAACCATAAGCCCTAGCAATAAAACCTTGACGTCGATTGGTTTCTATGCAGAAGTGCACGAGATTCTGAGTGAACCAGCTTTAGTAAATAAACCCCTTTGTCTGCTCTGTGCCCTCTTTTTTATAGTGAGGTAGCTGGCTTAAACAAAAGCCCCCTTATTAGCCATTCTAGGCCTGCTCTCTATAGTTCATGCCATGCAGTGCATTGTGGGATAAAAAAATTATCCCTGGTGAATCTACACATAAATTCACCGGGACCATAAACCTCAAACCTCCAGGATTTGCCTTGAAACCATGGCAGCTGCAAACCCAAACCTCATCTTTACTAATAATTTGGTAGATTAATTATCTCAGAACCCTTCAAGTTGACCACAGTTTACAAAACAGGAAGCAATCACTGACACCATAATCTTATGTCTAAATAATAGAGAAATGCTAACCATAACTTTTGATATATAAAATACTGGAAAAAACAGAGGCAATGGATAATGACCATCATTACTAAGGTAAAAATATGTGGAATAGTATAGTAAAACAGTGTTAACACAACATAATTTGTGACTGGAAAGATACTGTTCAAACGCTTTCCCATGGTAAAAAAAAGCTTAGACAAAATCCTCTAAATAAGGGCATTATTATGCAATCACAAGTACTGTACTCACATTGACTATAAAAGGCACCACCAGCATTACCAGGATGAGCTCGAGCTTGGGATCTGGAATGTAGTCCAGCAGAATTTCCTGAAGCTGCACAGAGAAAAACACAAAGCGTGAGGGATATACTCTGTACAAACAGACCTGTCACTTCAGAGCTTTCCCAGCCAGAGTCCAAACATAGTTATTGGAACGTTAGAATGGAGATACAATAACATATTACACAGTAGAATGGAGAATAAGGACACATTTTCAGCAGACAATCAGGATCACATATACACAAAGCCAGTTCATAGACATCTGCTGCACATTAGGTTTTTAAGTGGCCCAGAGTGTCTTACGTGTAGAACAACACACTATAATCTGACAGATATTTTATAAAACAAAATCTGGAAAAAAATGTAATTACTAGCAGGGGCGAGTCTGCTGCCTTTGATGCACCATAGGGACCCATAGAGAACAGGACAAACCCATTGGGGCACAATTGAGATGAAATGTGGAGCCAGGTGGTCAGGATGGAGAATACTTGCAGACAAAATAAAAAAAAAAACAACTTTTTTGTAATAACCAGGGGCGATTCACTTCAGAAGTGAAATGTACAATAGTAAATGTGTCATATTCCTTTCATTAGAGGAAAGGATGATGGCACTCCCAAATCATTAACTACTGCACCCTTTGATGAAAGGAAGGGATTGTGGCACTCCCAAAACATTACCTACTGTACACTTTATATCTGACATTCACTGTAACAACATCACTGCCTATCTTTTTCAACATAATGCTGTAAAGAACAGAGGACGGTAAAGATGCAGTAATGTGGTACTGCTTTGACGTGTAAGTTCACCTTTTAATCAAATAGGAAAAGGTGAATGACTATCGCACTATAGGTCGCTGATCACCCCCATTACCCCCATCACTATTATAGTGTTTGTACGGATCAATATATTAATCACAAACAGAACTATACTAGCGTCTTTTTAGTGTAGTGTCCCCAAAAAGGCAGTGTTAGCAGGATCAGCCCTGTTCACCGATTTGAATCAATTAATTGTGGGCCAAAGCAATTTGTACGCACAACAATGCATCACTGCCCTCCCAAATTCAGCTCTTGCCAGATAATCTGCATGGAAACCTATCACAGTTTCCAAATGTAAAACGTTTTGGGCCTAACTCCCAACATGGGCATTACAAAAAAGAATGAATTGTGGTCATATTGGCCCATAGACCCAATTCATCACATGCCCATGTTCTCTGCTATTACATATTTGCCAAACAAGGACCAGCAATATACTGATACATTGCTGGACTTTGATTGGTTATACCAGCATGATGCTTGCAGCTACAGTTTTTTTCAGCTGGCGGTCGGCTTTTATGTAAAAGCAAACCTAGTGGCTAATTAGTTGCTGGATCACTTTTACAAGAAGTGGGAAGGGACTCCCCTTCCACGGCTTTCACAGACTCTCCTGTCCCACCGGGGAACCCAAGAATGCACCTGGTCTGACGGCTGACCATAGAGGAGAGTCTAATAGACCCCAGATTTCTCTAAAAAGAGTACCTGTCAAAACCTACTGTGCTCATAGGAGATATTTACATTCCTTGTGATAACAATGGAAGTGATTTAAAAAATATATAAGGGACAAAGGCAAATGTCAATCCACCCCCCCCCACCATTTATGGGAGGTATCACCGCGATCGTCAGAATGAGCACAATGATTATAGCACTAGACCTCCTGTGAAAATCTAAAGTGGTAACCTGTGAAAGGTTTTAAAGCGTCGCCTATGAATATTTACGCAATTCGTCACTGCTGCATGGGCGTGAACAATTTTAAAGCATATCATGTTTGGTATCTATTTACTTGGTGTAACATCCTCTTTTATATTTTATCAAACAATTGGGCAGTATATTGTTTTTGTGCATTAAAATTAAACAAAATGTATTTTATCCAAAAAAATGCATTTGAAAAAACTTTGTGCAAATACTGTGTAACATAAAAATTTGCACTGTTTTATTCTCTGCTTTAAAAAAAAATATATATTGTTTGGGGCTTTAAAGTAACTTTCTAGCAAGAGAAAAAAATTTTCACGTAACCAAAAAGTGTCAGAAAAGGCTTTGTCTTCAAGTAGTTAGAAGAGCGGGTGATGTGTGACATAACTTCTAATGTTGACCCTGAAATGCCAGGATAGTAGAAGCAACCTCTCCAAATGACCCCTTTTTGGAAAGCAGACACTCCAAGGTATTTGATTAGGGGCATGGTGAATATTTTACAGATCTGGTTTGTTGCCACAAGTTTTTGGAAAATGAAAATGTATTTTTTCTTTTCTTTTTCAAAACCCTGTGACAAAATCGATATCTGCAAAATACTCACCATGCCTCTTATCAAATTCCTTAGGGTATCTACTTTCCAAAAGCACAGTCATTTGGGGGGTGTTTGTACTATCCTGGCATTTCAGGGCCTTTAAAACTGTGATAGGTAGTGAGGAAGTGACATGCCCTTTGAAAGCCTGATGGTGGGCATTGGATTTTTGGGGCCTGTATGTGGCTAGGCTGCCTGTGAGAGTTCCCACAGAATTATTAACCCCTGTCACACTGAAAGATTACAGCATGGACAGAGGAGGATGTCACCTAACAAAGGAGGTATCAGCACAAGGCACATATCCTACAGACTGTAAGTTATGTTCCTTGTGCTGGTTTTTGTGTATTTTATTTTGTTTGCACTTAGGCTTTAAAGTGACACTAAACAATATCCTTATTCTTAAAAAATCCACTGCTTAAGGGCCTAGTAATCTTTTTTTCATTAAACCATTTCTTGCTGTGTTAAAAGGAATTTATCTATCTATAGTAAATATTCTCTACAATTTCCATTATTTACATCAAGTAGTTCTGTTCTCTTAGAATCTGCTCTTGTCTGAGGTCTGCATCTTTGTTTCATGTAAATGTTAGAGGGGCAAAGGGGACAGGGTTACAGAATACTTTTTGTAATTTAATTTCCCATTACAGATGCTAGAAATTAAATGCACACAAAAGGTGTTGGGCTCTGATCAAACACAACCTTTTGTAGTCACAGAAAAGTCAATGTGAAATTCTACAAGAAACAAAGTGAAATCCAGAGCGCTTAATGCTTATTCAATGGAAAGCAGGGCTTTCTTTTAATTGCACCCAGTGATGAAAGTATGTTTATATATCCACACAGATTCACTGCTGGCGTAATCCTATAAAAAAGAGAAGTGGTATATACATTTTTACTATTTATAATTGAGTCTTCTAACACTGTAGAACTAGAAGGAATGGAATAAGGACCATTAAACACAGGTTTTTCTTTCCCTTAGAAGTCGGTGTTTACCTTTGTCCATCCTGGAATGAGGAGGACGAGGCTTATTATGGTCTTCTCCACAACCATTATTAAGAGGTAAAGTATACATTGCCCAATCCATGCAGCTGCCTGTGGTGGGTCTCCTGAAAATGAAATGAACATTTCAAGTTAAACAGAGATAAAGTCATTGTAATGCTATTGCTATAATATTATGCCACAGCTGCAATGCAATGGAGAAAAAACTGACCATTATCTGCCAAACAGATGGATTCTGAAAGTTCAAAAGTAAAAGCGAAAAGTGAGACTCTAGCCAAAATGAATTTTTTATTTCTGAAAAGATAGGGAAGGGTGCTACTTCTGCCAGGTTTTGATTAATCAATGAAAAGGTTAAGGCTCATACACCCAGAATAAGCATTTGAAAGTGATCAATCCTGAATTTACAATATTGAAATGATTAATAAACTAGTAAGGATTAAGTCACTTACATACAACAAACAAATACACTATATTGCCAAAAATATTGGGACACCCCTCCTAATCATTGATTTCAGGTGTTCCAATCACCTCCATATCCATAGGCGCATAAAATCAAGCATCTAGGCATGCAGACTGATTCTACAAACGTGTGAAAGAATGGGTCACTCTCAGGAGCTTAGTGAATTCAAGGTACTGTGATAGGTGGCCACCTGTGCAGTAAGTCCATCCATGAAATTTCCTTGCTATTAAATGTTCCACGGTCAACTGTTAGTGATATTACAACAAACTGAAAGCAAGCCTTCTCATCGGACATCAGTGCCTGACCTCGCAAATGAGCTACTGGAAGAATGGTCAAACATTCCCAGAGACACACTCCTAAACCTTGTGGACAGCCTTTCCTAAAGAGTTGAAGCTGTTATAGCTGCAAAGGGTGGGCCAACTCACTATTGAACCCTATAGACTAAGACTGGGATGCGTGTAAAGGCAGGCGTCCCAATACTTTTGGCAATATACTGTACATAATAAATGGCTTCAACAAGGTGTTCTTTATTCATTTTTTGTATTTATAATTTTTAGTAATGCCTAAATGTGTTTTGACACACAGTTGGGTCCAATGTTCAAATTTTTTAAATTTTGTTTTAGGTAACGTTATTTTCAGCCTTTTTGCAAATTCTATTTAATTTTCATTTTTTTTTGTTTATTCTTTTTGCATTCCCAGCCTGTGCCCTACATATATATATATAGATATTTTGGTGATAGGGTATATAGGGTTGTTTTTGTATATCATTTCAATATACATTTTATTACAATTTGCACAGCATAATGGAGCAATACATTACATTTTCTCTAATACAAAGGACCTTCCCTATGAGCACATGAAGCCACTTGTCTCTGAGGAAGCTACAATAAAATTCATTAGGCCAAACCCTTCTGAGAAAACCCTCTGTAAAAGCTACTGTGAGAGGTGTAGGTCACATGTGGCAATATCGCACCAGTCCTGCTGGGCCCTTACCTATCCACCATCGCACCTGCAGACTCTCACAGACTCTGGCTTCGTAAGCCTGACTCGGGCAATCACAACTTGCATCACTGTATATATCTAAACAGATCGAAGACTTTGACATACGTCACTGTTGTATGTGCTATTGCCAGATAGGATTGGTAACATGGAACTTTACCTATATTACATGTTCCATTATTGGAGATGTAGCCGTTTGCCTGCAGCACATTTGTGAATAACAGCCCAAGATACATGCATAGTCATGCATTCAGCATTTACTGATGGCATGATGGTACAGTCAGGTCCATAAATAATGGGACATCGACACAATTCTAAAATTTTTGGCTCTATACACCACCACAATGGATTTGAAATGAAACAAACAAGATGTGCTTTAACTGCAGACGGTCAGCTTTAATTTGAGGGTATTTACATCCAAATCAGGTGAACGGTGTAGGAATTACAACAGTTTGCATATGTGCCTCCCACTTGTTAAGGGACCAAAAGTAATGGGACAATTGGCATCTCAGCTGTTCCATGGCCAGGTGTGTGTTATTCCCTCATTATCCCAATTACAATGAGCAGATAAAAGGTCCAGAGTTCATTTCAAATGTGTTATTTGCATTTGGAATCTGTTGCTGTCAACTCTCAAGATGAGATCCAAAGAGCTGTCACTATTAGTGAAGCAAGCCATCATTAGGCTGAAAAAACAAAACAAACCCATCAGAGAGATAGCAAAAATATTAGGCGTGGCCAAAACAACTGTTTGGAACATTCTTAAAAAGAAGGAATGCACCGGTGAGCTCAGCAACACCAAAAGACCCGGAAGACCACAGAAAACAACTGTGGTGGATGACCGAAGAATTCTTTCCCTGGTGAAGAAAACACCCGTCACAACAGTTGGCCAGATCAAGAACACTCTCCAGGAGGTGGGTGTATGTGTGTCAAAGTCAGCAATCAAGAGAAGACTTCACCACAGTGAATACAGAGAGTTCACCACAAGATGTAAACCATTGGTGAGCCTCAAAAACAGGAAGGGCAGATTAGAGTTTGCCAAATGACATCTAAAAAAGCCTTCACAGTTCTGGAACAACATCCTATGGACAGATGAGACCAAGATCAACTTGTACCAGAGTGATGGGAAGAGAAGAGTATGGAGAAGGAAAGGAACTGCTCATGATCCTAAGCATACCACCTCATCAGTGAAGCATGGTGGTGGTAGTGTCATGGCGTGGGCATGTATGGCTGCCAATGGAACTGGTTCTCTTGTATTTATTGATGATATGACTGCTGCCAAAAGCAGCAGGATGAATTCTGAAGTGTTTCGGGCAATATTGTCTGCTCATATTCTGCCAAATGCTTCAGAACTCTTTGGACGCCGCTTCACAGTGCAGATGGACAATGATCCAAAGCATACTGCAAAAGCAACCAAAGAGTTTAAGGGAAAGAAGTGGAATGTTATGCAATGGCCAAGTCAATCACCTGACCTGAATCCGATTGAGCATGCATTTCACTTGCTGAAGACAAAACTGAAGGGAAAATGCCCCAAGAACAAGCAGGAACTGAAGACAGTTGCAGTAGAGGCCTGGCAGAGCATCACCAGGGATGAAACCCAGCGTCTGGTGATGTCTATGTGTTCCACACTTCAGGCTGTAATTGACTGCAAAGGATTTGCAATCAAGTATTAAAAAGTGAGTTTGATTTAGGATTATTATTCTGTCCCATTACTTTTGGTCCCTTAACAAGTGGGAGGCACATATGCAAACTGTTGTAATTCCTACACCATTCACCTGGTTTGGATGCAAATAACCTCAAATTAAAGCTGACAGTATGCAGTTAAAGCACATCTTGCTCGTTTCATTTCAAATCCATTGTGGTGGTGTATAGAGCCAAAAATGTTAGAATTGTGTTGATGTCCCAATATTTATGGACCTGACTGTATATGACTAAACTTATCTTCACTTCTGGTTTTCCCTAATTTACATATTTTAGTGCTATCCTTACTGAACAGCCTGTTCATAAAGGGTGGATTTGGAACACATTTTGGCAGCTTCCAATCTAGCAGGCTTACCGTGTCCCCTCAGTTATCCTCTGACATATACATATTATATTATCATATATATACATATATTATATATACACACACGCATACATACACACACACACACATATACAGTGCTCTGCATAAATGAGTACACCCCAACATATTTGTCAGAAAAACTTTACTTTACTTTCAGAATCAACATTTTCTATGGGACACTACACTACACAATACTCCCACAAATGTAAGACATTGATTGCAACATTTGTTAATTTGCACACACAAAAAATGTATTTTTCTTGACAAATTCATTCAAAATCATTTTGCAAACATGAATACACCCCAATGAAAGTTCTAGCAGCTAAGCTAAATTTTAGACAACAAAATCCTAATTAACAAGAATTCTACTACAGATGAGTCTAATTATTCATTAAACAGGTGACCAGCAGAAAATTAATTAGCAAAGGGCGTTACATAAAGAAAATTGCTTCCCATTTCATGCTTTCAGCAAATGCACCACATGGAAGAAAAATGTCAAAAAGCCTGAAAAAGAAAATAATTTCTTTACACAAGAAAGGTGAAGGCTACAAGAAGATCAGCAAAGCTTTACTTATGAGTCAGAATACTGTAGCAAAAGTGATACAAAAATTTAACACAGGTGGAACTGCAACCATCTCACAGAGACGTCCAGGCCGTCAATGGAAGTTAACACCTCAACAGGAGCATCTTCTGATAAGAAGGGTTGAAAAAAGTCGCCATGCAAGTTCACTGCAGTTCACTAAAGAAGTAGAAAGCCAAACTGGGGTGATTGTTTCCTGTGACACAATATGGCATACACTGCAGAGGAATAGCATGTATGGGTGATGTCCATGAAGGAAGCCTCTCCTAAAGCCCATGCACAAAAAAGCCCACCTAGAATTTGCCAGGGCTCAGGCTGAAAAAGAAGACTACTGGGACTCTGTACTCTGGAGTGCTGAGACCAAGATAAATGTTTTTGGAACTGATGGCTTCAAAACTCTATGGCATTGCAAAGGTGAGTACAAAGAAAAATGCATGGTGCCTACAGTGAAACATGGTGGTGGTAGTGTCCTTCTGTACAGCTTCATGAGTGCTGCTGGTGTCGGAGAGCTGCATTTCATTGATGGTTTCAAGCATTCACAGATGTACTGTTCAATATTGATATTGATTGGTCGTCATGCACTTTTCCAACATGACAATGATCCAAAACACACATGTAATGCCACTGTTGCATTTTTGAAGAAGAACTGGGTAAAAGTGATTCTGTGGCCAAGTATGTCTCCTGATCTGAACCCAATTGAACACCTATGGGGAATTCTGAAGAGACAAGCGAAGCATCATTCTCCATCCAGCATCCAGGCTCTAAAAGAGGTAGTTCTAGTTCTTGAAGAATGGAAATATGCAATATGTCGCCAACTTGTTCATTCCATGCCTAGAAGACATGGTGCTGTCCTTACAAATCATGGAGGTCATACAAAATACTAACTGTAGTAGTTTTTGTTGTGGGGTGTATTCATTTAAGCATCAGCTAATTTGAGTAAAACTGAAGATTTTGTAATCTAAGTTATATTATTAACTTTACCTTCATATAATGAGCTAAATAAATGT